CCTGCCGGGCGGTGCAGCCAGCCCGTGTCCTGCGCCCACAGCCCGCGCCGCGCCCTGCGCTGCTCGCGGGGCGGGATGCTCCGGCCTCGGACGGACAGGACGCCGCTGGTGGCCGGGGGCGCGCCCGGGCCGGCCGGCAGCTCGGAGCGGGCTCGGGGGTTGTGCCGGAACCGCCGTCCCAAGGGCTGGGCCGGAGAGCTCTGGAGCGAGAGCGGGATGAGCATCATGAAGCTGCGGGTGTCCTGGCCCTCAAGTGCATCCCAGAGGAACTGCGGCTGGAAGGAAAGGAAGCGGCAGCTCAGCTGCAGGGGACTGGGAAGGAAGTCTTCCCTGGTCACCCACAGGTACCAGCTGAAGTGTCACCCTGTGTGCCCAGGCACAAATCCCATCTTCTGCCTGTGACACTGAGCCGAGCTGGAGCAGGTTTGTGGGAATACAGGCCATGATGGTCTGGGAAGGGTCAGCAATGGTGGATCATGGAATCATGGAATTAATTTTGTTCAAAAAGACCTTTTAGGTCATCGAGCCCAACTGTTCCCCCAGCACTGCCAAGGCCAGCACTAACCCATGTCCCTCAGCTACACATCTACATGGCTTTGAAATCCCTGCAGGAATTTAATTCCCAGTGTGCCCGTTGGCAAGGGACAAAGTCAGTAACTCTATGGATCCCTCGGGCCCAGACACCACACTGGAGCCCATCTGACCCACAGCGCCCTGATCTGCACCTCAGGTTCCCCCGGCAGCCGGGGAGAACCCCCGGTTCTCCTGAGCCAGCCCTGCAGGACGGATCCGGGCAGCCCTCAGTTACCTGGATCTTGGAGATGCCAGTGTTCCAGGTGCTGGATGGTCTGTTGGCCATGGGGAGCAGCCGGGAGAGCTGATCAATGATGCCCAGGCCTCGGATCAGGTTCTCGCGCCGCACAAGAGCTTTCACTCTCCTCCTCTCCTCCTCCTCCACGATATCCCGAGGCTGCAGGGAGTCGTACTGCGCGGGCTGTGGCTTCGGGAGGAAAGGAGGGGGGACAGCAAAGCCCAGGCTGTGGTGACGTGCAAGAGAGGCAAAGCTGTGCCAAGCCCTAATGAGGGCCACAGGCTTCGGGGTGCAGTGGGACGAAGATCCCAGGGGGAGGCACAAGAGGGAAGGGACAACACTGATGCCTCCCAGCACAAGCTGTCAGCTGTCTGGACTTCATGAAGGGGAGTTAAACCTCTGCTCCCTGGGAGACACCCATGGCCCAGCACTGTTCCCAAAGCCATGTCCTTGCCTTTGGGAGCCCCCTGGACAACCACTGATAAAAGCCAGGTACCTTTCTATCCCACAGCCTGGTGCTTCCGTAGGTGAAGCGGCGTGGAGGAGCTGTGGCTTTATTGCAGATCTGGGATTTGCTTCCAGCTGCCTCTCCATGCAGATCTTCTTTCCTCACCGTTTTGTTCCTCCTGGTAATAGCATCCCACTTTTCTTTTTTCAGGCGAATTTCCTCCAGTTGCTGCCTGCCACAGAACAGTTGTCTTAGTCACTGGCCACAGTAGCCAAAGGCTATTATGAAGCCTTCAATTCAAGGACATTTTACTGTGGCCTGAAGTTCTGTACTGAACAGACCATAACAGAAGCGTGCCAAGAAGTGGACCAGGAGTTCCTTTAAAAGAGACTCTCACTGCTGCAAGAAATGCCCTTGGATTGGGCTGTGCCTGCCAGCGGGGTGTAGGACACCTGTGACAAGGTGCCTCAGGAGCCCACAAGTCAATGGAATGTGGCATTTCCCTCTGAAGGGTCAGTGACAGGAGAATCTTGGCTGTGGTGACAGCGCCGCAGCCCCTTCCCTCCCGGCTGTCCCCTAACGCACACCCCTCAAGGCAGGGCCCAGGACCAGCGGTGTCTGTGCCACCGTGGGTGTGAGGGGGGGCACCCACCTGGCACACTCCTCCCGAGCCCTGGATGTCGCCGTGTCCCTGAAGAGGGACCTGCTCTGCTTGAAGAACGGCTCGTACCGCTCGGTGCCCCCTGCCGGGTAGATGCGGCGGAAGCCGCCCAGGTGCGTGTCCTCGTAGCTTTCGGCCTGGGAGAGCCAGGGGGGCTGGCTGCCCCCCAGCTCCTCACGCCTGCAAAGCGGGGGGAGCACAGCTCCGGGAGCTGTCCTGGCTGAGGGACAGGACCTGCCAACTGCTTTCCCCCATCTTTCCAGACATATTTCCAGACCTCGCACACCCTGCCCCTCAGCCAACAAACCCACGAGGTGTCTGCCTCCCTGCCTGCTGCCGGGAGCTCTCACTGAACTGATTTGGTTGGAAAAGACCTTGAAGATCCTCCAGTCCAACCCTTACCCAGCCCTGCCAAGGCCACCACTGACCCATGTCCCTCAGCACCACATCTATAGGGCTTTGAAATTCCTCCATGATAGGGACTGCACCACTGGAGCCTGGCAACCCTTTCCAGGAATAAGTTATTCCCAAGACCCAATCTAAACCTCCCCTGGGCAACTTGAGGCCGTTTCCTCTTGTCTTGTTACTCAATAGGAGAGACCAACTCCCCTGGCTCCAACCTCCCCTCAGGCAGTTGCAGAGAACGAGGTCTCCCCTCAGCCTCCTTTGCACCAGGCTGGCCCCCCCCAGTTCCCTCAGCAGACTTGTGCTCCAGCCCCTTCCCCAGGGAGCTTGGAGCAGCCAAGGCTGCAGGGGTAGGCAGAGCACAGGGTGAAAACACACAGTGTCTCCAGCCTGGAGGTGTCTCAGGTCTCCTCATTGTACTGGGAGCTGGAGGGAGATCCTGCCTCGCCCTGCACTGCAGATACAGCCCAGGGAACAGGCTCATCTCCCACGGCCTCAGGAAAAGTCTTGCAGACAGAGAAGGGGGAAATCCCCAGCCCTGGGAAAGGGTCCTGGGGGCTCTTGGTGCTGTGACGTGTCTCTCAAGGGTCCTGGTGAGCCCAGGGATGCTGGCACTGCCCGTGGGCACTGCAGGTCGTGGGAAGCAGGTGCAGCTCGGTGGGGACAGCTCTGCAGAGTGCCCGGAGCACCGCTCACCTCCCCCCGCGCCACGAAGAGCCCTGGCTCTTCCCTGCAGGATGCAAATGGCTTAGGAAGTCTCTTCTGAGACTACTCAGTGCCACGGCCTCTGGGAGCTGGGATTTGGAAACAGCCAGTCTTGGCTTCCTCCGTCCCCCACATTTTGGTGAGGACTGCAGCGCTCTGGGGAAGAGCCATACCTGGCAGCACGGAGAGCCTGGTGGCCCTGCAGGAGCCGCTCCTTTGCCCGCTGTCTGTCCTCCTCCAGCACTTTCCGCTTGTCACAGCCATGCACGTTGATCAGGTTGATGGTGTCACACAAGAGGGCGTCCTTCACCTCCTGGTCTAGGCGAGAGTCCGTGGTGAAGCTGGGAGAGTGGTTCACCTGCCAAAACAAGCAGCTGCTCTCACCTGGCAGCTCCTGGCAAGCCCTGCCAGCAGCCAGCTCGCCGGCCCCACCACACCCTTCCCACGTAGCCAGCAGTGGGTTGCTTGGCTGCTTGTCTTCACAGCCTGTTTAATTTTGGGAAGGATGTGGCCCTTCTTAATCAAATGAGTTCTGTTCACCTCACCACCCCGTGTTTTGGAGCCTCTCCCCAACAAGCAGCTCTGGGCAAAATGCTGCTTCCAGGAGACTCCATCCTCACCTCCAGCAGCCATGGCTTCAGCTTTCTGTCCAGCAAAATATCAAAGCCCAGAATCTCAAAGCAGGCGCAGCACCCAGTGTGGCTGGGGAAGCAGCTTTGGTAATTGTGCTTCACCACAGGGTGAGCTGAAATTAGAGTCTTTATAATAATATCTTCAATATCTTCCCAGAGTTTTGTTGTGTTGTAGCTGTGATCTACCATCCAGGCATTCAGGGTGGACAGTTTCCTGTGGGGAGGACAGGAGATGCTAAGCTCAGCTGCAATGCCACAGGAAAGTTTGCCCCAGGAAAGATGGAAGCAAACCAGTGTCCCCCGGGAAGCTTCCCTGTAGGATGTGCCCAGGACACAGGAAAATACCTCTTACTGCCCATCTTGTCATCCTGGACGAAGTTTTTGTTGTGTTTGTTGATGGCATAATTGGTCAAGTGCATGCAGATGTCACCCTGGGAGGAACCACAGGAGGCTGCTGTTTAGTCCCAACCACAGAGCACAGGTAGAACCAGCCCCATTAGCTCTAATCTCATCACCAACTTCACCCATTCCTGCCTCCTCTCTGTGGTGGTGACTTGCAGCAAGGGGTTAACCACACTGGTGATTCCCTCTAGCCAGAAGCTGGAGCTCACAGAGCTCTGCCCTCCCTGCACCCCTGTCCTTATCTCTGGGGGAGAGCACAGGAGTTCCCTCTGGCCTCACTGAAGCACAAGAGACTCCTCAGGACAGAAGCTGCAGCAAATTTCTGCAGATTCTTTCTTTGCTCACCCAGAGCCCAAGAGCTCTCCAAGACCCACATGTATGGGAGTGAGGGAGGACATGTGCCCATGCAGCTGTGGGACAGGTGGGCAGGCAGCCAGGAGCTGGGGTCTCCCAGCAGCTGTAGCACAGCAATCCAGAACCACAACCCATCTCCTGCTGGGATCTGATGGGTTATAGACCCCTGCTTGGAGATGGGCACAGCAAAATTCTGCACCTTGCCTTCCTGGTTATCTTCCCAGAGTTTTGTTGTGTTGTAGCTGTGATCTACCATCCAGGCATTCAGGGTGGACAGTTTCCTGTGGGGAGGACAGGAGATGCTAAGCTCAGCTGCAATGCCACAGGAAAGTTTGCCCCAGGAAAGATGGAAGCAAACCAGTGTCCCCCGGGAAGCTTCCCTGTAGGATGTGCCCAGGACACAGGAAAATACCTCTTACTGCCCATCTTGTCATCCTGGACGAAGTTTTTGTTGTGTTTGTTGATGGCATAATTGGTCAAGTGCATGCAGATGTCACCCTGGGAGGAACCACAGGAGGCTGCTGTTTAGTCCCAACCACAGAGCACAGGTAGAACCAGCCCCATTAGCTCTAATCTCATCACTAACTTCACCCATTCCTGCCTCCTCTCTGTGGTGGTGACTTGCAGCAAGGGGTTAACCACACTGGTGATTCCCTCTAGCCAGAAGCTGGAGCTCACAGAGCTCTGCCCTCCCTGCACCCCTGTCCTTATCTCTGGGGGAGAGCACAGGAGTCCCCTCTGGCCTCACTGAAGCACAAGAGACTCCTCAGGACAGAAGCTGCAGCAAATTTCTGCAGATTCTTTCTTTGCTCACCCAGAGCCCAAGAGCTCTCCAAGACCCACATGTATGGGAGTGAGGGAGGACATGTGCCCATGCAGCTGTGGGACAGGTGGGCAGGCAGCCAGGAGCTGGGGTCTCCCAGCAGCTGTAGCACAGCAATCCAGAACCACAGCCCATCTCCTGCTGGGATCTGATGGGTTATAGACCCCTGCTTGGAGATGGGCACAGCAAAATTCTGCACCTTGCCTTCCTGGTTCTACACCCTGTCTCTCCCAGCCTGTTCCAATACCACCAGATCATTTCCAGGTCCCTCTTCTCCACCTTAAGCACAGTCACAGAATGGTGTGGACCTGGGAATGCTCACGGGGGCAGGAAGCAGCAGGAGTGTTGCCCAGCCAGGCTGTGGGGTCTCCATCCTTGCAGTTTTTCAGCACCTGGCTGGGTGAGACCCTGAGAAACCAGATCTGGATTTATTGTTGCCCCAGTTTTGAGCAGAAGGTTGGACTCAAAACCTTTGAAGTGAAACAACTCCATGATTCTGTGATAATGCCAGTAAACAGCCCAGACGTGGGGCCTGTGAGCAGATCTACTTCAGACAGACACTCCTGAAATACCTCCTGTGAAGAAGAGGTACAGAGGGAGGGCAGAGCAGGAAAGAAGAAAACCAGGTCCCATGAAACCCACCAGTCCTGCCTTTCCAGAGTCTGGAATGCCCTTAGGACAAGTTAGGGTCTAACACCTACAGATACTACGTTTTTTGGACAGTTCCCTTTTTTACCAGGTTTCTGCTGCTGGGATCGATGTACCTCATGGTGGCAAAGCGGGCCAGGCCCTCCTTGTAGACAAAAATCCTCAGCGGGTCACAGGACGTGACCAGCACATAGATACGCATGTCAAACTTAAAGCCATCGATGAGGAAAGGCTGCGAGAGGAAAGGCAGGAGCTGGGATGAGCCAGGGGCACTGCAGGATGTGCAGGGACCCCCGAGGCAGCTCAGCTGCCCCTGCCTGCCCGGGGGGCCCTCGCCTGCCTGCCCGGGCTGCCCCGGCACCTTGGAGATGTACTGCTGGCAGATCATGTGCTCCCCGTGCCGGATCTCCTCTGCGTTCCGCGTGATGAAGATCCCCTTCCCCTGGCAGCCACTGTCTGGTTTGCAGATGAATGTTCTGGATCTCCTGGTGCGCCGGTAGGCCTGGAAATCTCCATAGCTGAGCAAGGAAGGGGAGACTGTTACAAGCTGCAAAAAAACAGCCCCGGAACTCTCAGAACAGGTGGGTGCTCAGGCTGTGGTGCTGCGGGCTGGTACAGACCAAACTTCTGCAGCAGAGGAGTCATGCACCTACTCCTGATTTACACAAGTGACAAATGGGTCCTTGGACCTGACAAAGCTCTCCTGGTTCCACCTTTTACTTGCACACTTCTCCATCTCTGCCAGGGGTTTGTAGGAAGTGGTCACTACAGTGCATAGTGAGATTTTGGCTCTGCTGCCACAGGGCGAGCAGGAGAAAATAAAACAAGGTCTGGCTGCAAAGGAGGAGGTCACAAGTCTTTGTGTCCCCTTCCATGCTGCTCTCCAGCAGGCAGGTGGCCAGGGCCAGTGTGCTCAGGGCACAGGGGCTTGTCTCGTTAGGTAGCTGAGCCTCAAGAGCTGCTCCCTGCTCCAAAGGGTTCAGCCCCTCTGCTAGTGTTATTTTACTGTAAATGAGGGGCACCGTGTCTCTAGTGGGCACTGCATTTAGGGGAAGAGAAGGGAAACGAGGACAAATCCCCAAAAACAGCACCAAGAGCAACCAGGTGCCAGGAAATGCAGCCTGGAAAGAAAGAGAAGAGAGGCAGGTTGGACTTCTCCAGAAGTGGGAGGACCGGGAGGATACATGGTGACAGCCTTCCTGGACATGACCCGGGGTGAGCACAGCACTGTTCTCTAAGGCCAGTGAAATGGGAGGAGTACCAAGTGCTGGTAGCACTGGGTACTCCCCAGTACCAGCTTGCGGCAGATGCTTTAGGTCAGATACTAATAACATTATTCTAACTGTAAGGAGAGTTCAGGCACAGAACAGGCAACAGGAGCCAGACTTCCAGGTCTGGAGGGAATGGTAAGAATAAAATCTAAGAATGACCCAACCAGACACCACCTTGTCCCTTCCCCCCACCCAGACTTCGAGTGCTCTTTGGTCCCTCTCAGCTGCATTTTTTGGCTCCCACTCCCTAATTTGATACCCCTGCTCTTGGCTGCATTAACATGTCTCACTCACTCTGCAGGCAGGCACCAAGTGCGGGGAAATATGTTGTAGTCCTTGGGGAAGAGCCGGAGCATGCGGTTGAGGTTGCGGGCCAACAAGTCCTTACGGCAGATCTCAATCATGCCGGGAAAATGGTTGATTTTCTGAAAGACAAAAACCAGGATCAGTGAAGGAAAAGCAGGGATCCTCCTCCAGACCCAGGACAGCCCGAAGGGGAAGCGGGGCCTGCGGTTGCCTTGAACTTCGGCTGAGAGACAAGATTATGCTACAACAACTGCTTTATCTGAGCTTCACCAGCGTGATTTATCTGCTCGTTCCATCTCAGCCCTGAAGCTCTCCCTCCCTGGAGTATCACAGCTCGGGGAAGGGAGCCCTTTGTGACCACAAACCATTTATTTCACAGTACATGTAAGGGGCTGGCAGCTCTCCAGCTCACGCTGCCTGTCAAAGTGCTGCTGATGGCACCGTGCCGGGGCCAGAACAGAAGTAAGGCCTTGTGAACCTGCGTCCTCCAGAACCAACGCAGAGAAACAGCCATGGGAGCTGGTCTGGCTGCTTCTGTTTCACTCTGCAACATGTTG